TTTTAACATATTGCTTACTTTAATAATAAAATAGGGTACATTATGAAAGTTTTAGCCGTCTCTATAGCTTAATGGTTAGACGTGCTCCATAACGTTAAGCGAGTTTGGAATCCCGGGAAAATAATAGATTGTTTCGTTTGGGCGGGGCACAGAAACTAATTAACTATTTGCCTGTAAGAAAATTGAACAGTCAAACGGACACAGAAGTGTGTTCTCCCCATAATAATGGGTAAAAACGGGATTTCACCTAGTCATAGTTATATTTTGTTAACCAAAGCCAACATAAGCCGACAGCGCATCTTGTTTAAATGTTATATGGCTGGGGAATTACCTAAATTGAACGCCATCCTTCTTTGTCCTTCTCTATCTTAAGAGAACCCTTTGTCTGAAATTAGTCAAATACGCTATTTTGTTGGTAAATTTTTTTGATAAAAAAAAGTACAAAAATTACGAAGATTGCGAAGATAATATTGAATGGTTATCGTGCATATAATGACAGTGAAGAATGATCCTTCATGTCACCAATGATGCGGTGAGTGAAGATAATTGTGGAAAGAGCAAAAATGATTGATGATACCGAAGCCGACTGGGGTATTTAATTTTTATCAATTATTGGAAAAACAAAAGCCAGAACTTCAGTTAGTATAGATAAACTATTGTAAATAATAATCTCTATAGATAATAGCTATCTATAAAAATTATTACCTATAAAATTATAAAATAAAAAAAGCCGGTCTGTGTTTCTTGTTTGTTCTTCTCGATCATGTTGCTCTATTTAGCACTCTTTAGAATCACGATTTAAATCTAAAGTTTGTATTAATTTTTAAATTATATAATACGATCATGTGCCATAACATGTGAAAATATTAAAGATAATTTATAATAATAAATAATTTTTAAAATTTTAAAGAAATCAACTTATATTTTATTTTATTTCTAGTGGTAATTATTTAAAAATAACTTTGTGACCGTTTAAAACGCGATAAAATATATTTTAATTACGAACCTATTTTCCTGATACTTCACAGCAGCTCTTGAAAATAATTCACTCAGTTGTTGTTGACAATTATTGATTATTGAGGTCGATGAAATTCGATTCCCAGTTGGATGCTTAGAGGCTTCGTTACTTTGAATTTTGGTTTAAAAAAAGTTTTTTCGTTGGGGGTTGGGTTTTTTTAAAAAAAAAATTTTTTTTTTTTTTTTTTTTTTTTTTACCCCCCCTTTTTTTTTTTCTTTTTTAAATTTCCCCCCCCTTTTTTTTCCCCCCCCCCAAATTTTTTTTTTTTTTTTTTTTTTTTTTTTTTTTTTTTGGGGTTTTTTTTTTTTTTTTTTTTTTTTTTTTTTTTTTTTTTGTTTTTTTTTTTTTTTTTTTTTTTTTTTTTTTTTTTTTTTTTTCCCCCCCCCCCCCTCCTCCCCCCCTGTCTTGTGTTACTTTAGCTTAGGTGCCCTACACGACCGATACTTTTTTTATGTCATCCTAAGATTCGCATGATGTCTGCATAAAGCAACACTATTACCAAATGAGCATAGATCTATATTTACGGACTGTAGATACAAAATGAATCCTTTTGTATCTGTGACACAGCGATGTCCACAGTCAACGTAATGTTTCCTAACATTGTGACTGTCCACGACATTTATTGCGTGAGCTCGCTAGATTCTCATCAGATGCCTAACGTAGGGGCGGTAAACGGATATTGACTCTCGACAATGAAACAAGGCACTAGTGCGTTGCATGCCTATGATTGCAAACTATTGTCCGACGCTGCCAGATGAACTAGGAGTAACGAGATGAGATATTTGAGTCTCACAGCGTAATAAAAAGATTTAAAAATGGAATTAGAGCAGATTCTTTGTCATATATATATCAAACGATATCTAGTCTGCCTTTATGTATTTTGCTTTCAGAACAAAGGACGTGTACAGAACGACCAATGAGGTCCAAGAGACAATAATTTTTTTCGCATAAAATTAAGAATATTTTATAGATCTCACTATAGAAAATGTGTTTTCGTTTCAGGACTTTGCCGATAATAAAATCGATATTGTTAATTATTTGTAACTTCTTTTATTTGGTATACTAAGTCAATCCCATCACATGTAAAAGGAATATTTACCTTTTTCCTCCCTATAAAAAATTTAACGAAGAAATATTTAAACATATTTTACACTCTTCTCTGCATCTCACGTGCGCTGAGCACATTAAATATTTGCCAATTCTCATCTATTTACATCGGTACAGAGCAAGTGGTTAGAAATATTCATTACGAGTAAACATTATGTAACGCTTTAATCCGTTCTTTGAACACTACAAGTGCAGGAAATTTCCCGCTATAAGAGAAGAAAATCTAGCAGTTATGCCACTAATTATTTTTGTTAGATAGATGAAGCATATATTTTATCTATTACTTTTAAGTAAAACACCCTTTACTTATACTTAAGCTTAAATGCAGCAGCCAAAACGTCGAGCTATTGTCAAAATAAATGAAAAGTAAGGTAACTAATATCTTTCGCGTTTTAAACGGTTAAAAGTAAAAGTGTTTTATCGAAGTGTACTTCTTGATTGAACAGACAATATGTTTCTTTTGCTGACAAGAACTTTTTGGTGGTACAATAATACTATAAATTCTATTCTCATCCAAGTTTTTGTTCTGTGAGAAAGTGTTTAATAGATGTTTTCACTTCACAAATCTACGAACACCAAAAAAATCTACGTACGAGTATAAATTCTTTGTACAGTACTAGTATTATAAGAGTGTACTTGTGAAAAGATTCGATGTTGCCTTATTTAATTTTGAATACATAATTTTTTGCTCTTTGTGTAAAAATTCAAAGCCTTTTGAAGGTTTAAAAATTTTCAAAGCCTTCGAAGACGAAGACTTAACGTCTTAATTGAGTTTCTAAGAAGTCTCTATCTAGCCTGTGTCATCGTTTTCGTCAAAGATATGAAAGAACTTCAAAATTGGGTCACAATCAATGGTTTTGTCGTTAATATGCCAAATTCAACTTATATAGAGGTGCAATTTTGTTGTAAGGATTTTTTATCGTAAAGAGTTCTGCTTATGATTACAATGTATTTTATAAATTTTATTTTATTTTACAATTACTTCTTTTATTGTAAGTGAAACTTTATTTATATTGTAGTAGCTAAGTCTGCGACTTCGTCCGCGAAGAATAGTTATTTTGTGCATCAAATTTGTTTTTGCAAACCGCCTGTCCAACTCTATAAATTTAAGCTTCTACCCACGAATACATCCGCGTCCCGTCGTTCGTGTAAGTCAATCTTAAAAGATAGACATATACTATCATGGATTTTTTTTTAGATTTAAAGTTTTTCTTTTTCTTTTCTTTATAATTTCCCTTTTTCTTCACTATTCCCTTTCTTTCTTTTTTCACACATTTATCCTATACCTTCCTCATTTTCCAAAAAAAAAAAACACTTGGATTAGCTTCAAACAACAAACAAACTTTCATATGTTAGTTAGAGATAAATTCTTCTTTTCTTTTTATTTAGCCTTTAAATCAAAATTTTTTAGTACTTTATTCCAGTTTACAGTAGGAAGTTTAACAGTTTATTTCTGTAGCATTTAGTATTTAATATATTTGAACTACCTACGGCCGCGCCGTTTTGTAACTAATATATTTCACGTTTTAAACAATATGTTTTAAACAGTAGTGTTTTATTTAAATATGTATTAATTGTGTAGTCTAAGTTTTGGAACCTGAAGGTATTTACGAAAAATGCTTGGACTCGGGAGCTCAATTGGTAGAGCAACAGCACGGAACGCTGACAATGCCAGTTCAAGTCCTGCCCGAGCCGAAATTTTTTACAATTTATTTTCGATATTTAAATTATATAGTGCCTTCATGTGCAATAACATATAAAAATATTAATGTTTTCAAATGCTTTTTTATGTTAAATATACACTCAATATATGAAAAGTTCGACTTCTTTTTAAGCAAAAAGCTTTATCTTAAATTGTTAAAGAAAGCTGCTCTTTTTTAATTTATCATTCAATGATATTGTATATATTGTAATTTTGTTAAAAAGCTACAAAGTCCACAAAGCCGCTTTTGTTTTTTTTTTTATAAGAGCTTTTTGTTCCGTGATTTACTTACCCAATTCACTGGTAGTTTCAGCTTCTATAACTTGGGCGACCAAATCTCTAGCCCTCGTGTGCAATCTCGCGAAATGCACTCGAGAACGGCCATGCCGTATCAAGGTCCTATGCCTCAATTTCACTTCACTTTTTATATCACAGTGCACTAGACTCGCGATGTATATTAGGAGGAGCGTCCGCATTTTGACATCACGTCCTATTCGTTGGGCTCCGGGCCGGCTACTGGCGGTGCGCAAACTTTTTGGCCTTCACTTTTCAAATCTCGAACTTTTAAAACTTCAAAAATGATTTATTGTCTGTTAACCTTTATTTGATTGTTCAATATATTTCATACAAAGGCTAACATTTAAGTAACTTACTATTACATATGAACTTTAGCCCATGCGTAAACTATATTTAAAAAATACTTCAAATTTTTTGATATTATCTGTATTGAAAACTTTAATATATTTTCACATATTTATTGCACATGATACACTATATAATTAAAAATCGATTATACATTGCGCGAGAGGTATTGCGATTGAGATGTACCAATAGGTTAACGATGACGTGTAGGACTCAATAGCTCAATTGGTTAGAGCAACAGCACGGAATGCTAAGGATGCCGGTTCGAATCATGCCCGAGTCGTGGACGGTTGCCTACGCGCTCTTCATTCGTGCCCTTTCGCCAACAAAAGTAAACGCCACTTTTATGGAAAAGTGTCCCGTTTAGCCGACAGCGCGGATCGTCGCACCACCTAGCTTCCGCCGCTTATCTCGGACCGACTCCCCGCCGAACTAGCATGCCCTTTGGGGCTTGTTAGCAAGGACCGGACTAGGAATGAGTAGGTGGCTAGGGCAGTGAGTGTAGGCCCTCTTAGCGCTCTCATCTAAACGATGGAGCCCGACCGCCCCCGTCCCCCGCTACCTCAGCGTGAAGTCCGCTCTCGCCCTCGCGATCGAGCGTCGACTCCGCTAAGTGAAGTGCAAAGTGAACCGTGCCGCGATGACGAACATTCCGCGCGCGGTGATGCCAGCATTGTACGTGCAGATGATTCTGGCAGGGCGCTGCATGATGCTGCGCCCGCCGAATCAACGCAGACCTCTAAATTGAGTGCCTCGACCGCATCGTCGTCATATGACGAGTCATCTATGACCACGACGGCCGAGTCCGCCGACTCCCCGACCTCTTCGCCGACTGCGCCTCCTCTCCGGTCTCCGAGCCTACTCGAGATGCTGTCGGCAGATAAGCAGCCGTGTCCCGCCTTGTCTCCAAAGGCGGAACACAACTCGGACACAGTGTCCGCCGCACTGGTGGCAAGCTGTGGCGCCTTCTCCCCGTTTATACAGGGGGTCATTCGCTCTGCGCTCGAGGAGCGCGAGCGTGCCCTCAAACAACGGGGAATCTTGGACGAGTCAGCCGTGATCACGGCCGAAGAAGAAAATCGGGCGTACGAGGCCCTACAGCGCCTCGTCCCCCTCCGCCGCCCTCGCTCGAGCACCGACGATGAGGCCGCCGGGCGCGAGGCGAAGCGCCTATGCGCTATGCCCGCGCACGCTGCGCGCGACCCGCGCCTCCAACGCCGTGCCGCCACCACCGAGGCTGCAGCCGATGCCGCCGCCGCGCTGCCTGTTGCCGCGCCGCCCGCTGCCGCGCCGCCTGTTGCCGCGCCGCCTGGCGCCGCGCTGTCTGCCGTCGCAGTCGCGCCGCCTGCCGCCACACAGTCTGCCGCCGTAGTCGCGCCTTCTATTGCGACTTACGCCGGCGCTGCCGCCGCCGTCGCCGCCGCACCTACTGTGCAGGCGCGCCCACCTCGCGCCCCTGCCGCGCAGCCAGCTGCAGCTAAGCCGAGATACCCGCCGATCGTCGTCGAGTACCTACCAGACTGGGTACATCACCTCGGCGAGATTCGGCGGCTACTCGGCCGCACCGCCAACACACGCTCCTATGGGCGTGGCCACCGCATCACGCCGGAGACCGAGGAGGAGTACCGTGTGGTGCAGCGGTACCTCTCCGACCTACAGCAGCGGGACCAGAGGGTGACCTGGTTCTCCTACTCCATCCCGGCCGAGCGCGAGCTGAAGGTGGCAATCCGCGGCATCCCGGTAGGGACAGATCCGGAGGCCATCAAGGAGGCTCTTCGCGGCCTAAACTACGAGCCCGAGCACATCCAGCCCATCCGAGCGTCGAAGGGGAGACCCGGGTGCCTTTACCTGGCTATCCTCCGCCGCACCCCCGGCATCACCCCGGCCATCTACGCAGTGAACGAGCTTATGTTCATGACCGGGGTCACCATCGAGGCGTGGCCGGAAGCGAGGCCCCGCGCAGTGCCACCGGTGCCAACAGTTCCGGCATTCGTCGCACAACTGCCACCGCCCTATAGCGTGTGTGCGATGCGGCGAACCCCACCGAGCTGCCGACTGCCCGCGGCCCAAGGCGGAGCCTGCCACGTGCGCCAACTGTCGGGGACCGCACCCGGCAAACCATTCGACGTGCCCGGTGCGCAAGACGGAGGCGCGAAACAAACGCGCCGGCACCGTCGCCCGCACTGGCCAATCGCGTCCCACTACGCGTGCCGCCACAACGACACAAACTGCGTCGCGCCGCGCGCAAAGTGCGCCGCGCCGCGCGCGCAGTGCGCCGCGTCCTGCGCAGAGCGCCGCGCCTGCTGTCGCCACTGCGGCCCCTGCCGCCGCTGCAACATCCCGCCCTGTCGGCGGAAGAAAAGGAGGCAAGGGTCGCTACAAGAAAGTGTCTCTTGCGGCCGCTGAGGCCGCGAGCCGCAGGGGCACCGCCGATTCTTCTGGCGCCGCTACCACCGCCACCACTGCCGCTGCCACCCCTACCACTGGTGCGGCAACCTGCGCCGCTGAGCCGTGCGCCGCTTCGTGCACCGAGCCGCGCGCTGCCCAGCCTGACTTCAACCGCGCTATCGCCGCGATCCTGCAAATTTTGCAGGCCATGCAGGCCGGCAGTGACCCCGCGCCGCTCTTCGAGCGTGCTGCGCGGGATCTCCGCAACAGCAGCGCCCCAGCCCGAGACCCGCGCCGATAAATGGGGAGCCTCCGGCTCCTATACTGGAACTTGCGCGGTCTCAAGGGCAAGACCGCATTCCTGCGGCAGCTTTTGTCGTCGCAGGACATTGACATTGCGCTCCTGAATGAAACACTTCTCCTGCCGGGACAACGCTGCAGCGTCCCCGGCTATTTCATATACCGCCAGGACCATGTTTCGCCGGCTGGCGTGGTCTATCGCGGCCTAGCGGTCCTCGTCCGCCGCCGCCTCCCGCATCGCCTCCTGCCTGACGTGGACCTAGCCGGAATGCACGCGCTCGGCGTAGAGGTCGAGTTCGCCGGTCGCCCCACAGGGGTGTTCGCCGTCTACGGGCCGCCGCAAAATCCGCTGCGCACTGCGGACGTTCGGCGGTTACTCCGCGCCGCTCATCCCATCGTCGCCGCCGGAGATTGGAATGCCAAGCATACCGATTGGCATTCCCAAACATGCAACCCGCGCGGCCGCCGTCTGCTGGCTGACTCCGTGGCGCTGGGGTACTCCATCTCCGCGCCTGACTCGCCCACGCACTACCCGGATGGCAGGGGAGTGCCCGATATTCTCGACCTTGCCGTGCACAAGGGGATCGACGCGTTGATCTCGCAAGAGGTGGTCGTCGACGAGTTTGGGTCCGACCACCTCCCAGTAGTGATGCACCTCATCGACGCCGCTCCCGCGCCCCCGATTCCCCGTGAAGTAAGGCGAGTCGATTGGCGGGCCTTCCAGACCGCGCTAAACAGTGCAACACAGCTTAGCACGCCCGAAACCCCCGCCGCTGTGGACGAGGCGGCGGGACTCTTCACGGCGCAACTACAGCGCGCCCTCTCCGACGCCACCAGTGCACGGCCGGCCCCGGCGGTCTACCCAGCGCTGCCGAACCGCTTGCTGGCTCTCATTCGCCGCAAGCGGTCTCTCCGCCGCCAGTGGCAGCAGACGCGCTGCCCCCGCCTCAAAGCGGAACTTCGCCGCCTCGCCGAGAGCGTCAAGTCCGGGCTCGAGGTCCACGCCGCCGAGTCGTGGGAGTTCGACATCGGCGACGCCACGGCCGACTGGGCCGCCCTCCATCGCCTTTGCAGGCGGTTTACCAACACCGCTCCGCCAGTGCACCCGCTCCGGGACGACGCTGGCGTTCTCCACTACGCCGCTGCCGATCGCGCCGAGTTGCTTGCCACACACTTGGCAACGCAATTCTCGCCGCATCCCGCGGCAAATCCGGCCCGCGTCGCTGAGGTCGAGCGCGCTGTCGCCGAGTACATCGCTGCACCCATTCCGCCAGGCGAGGACGCCATCTTCTTCTCGCCGGCGCTGGTGCGCAAGTCGGCGCAGCGCCTCAAACCGAGGAAGGCCCCCGGTGCAGACGGCATTACGAATGCGGTCCTTCGCCGCCTGCCGTTGCGCGCGTTGGTTTCACTGACGCGCCTTTTCAACGGCGCCGCCCGCACCGCTCACTTTCCCGCGCCGTGGAAGGAGGCGCGGGTTATAACCATACCGAAGCCGGGGAAGGACGTCCTGAGGGCGGCGAGTTATCGTCCAATCTCGCTGCTCTCCACTCAGTCCAAGCTGTTTGAGTCGCTCCTGCTGCCGCGGCTCAACAGGTGCGCCGAGCCCCGACCCGAACAGTTTGGGTTTCGCCCCGGCCACTCCACGACCCTGCAGCTGGCGAGGGTGCTGCACGCCGCCGCGACCGCTGTAAACAAGAAGGAGGTGCTTGCAGCGGTCTTCCTCGACATGGAAAAAGCCTTCGACCGGGTCTGGCATGCAGGCCTAGTGTCGAGGCTAATTGAGCTGCGCTTCCCTCGCCGAGTGGTGGCACTCGTGCATTCGTTCCTCCTCGACCGGCGCTTCCATGTCGCCGTCGGGGGGGCCTACTCCAGCCCACGAGCCATCACTGCGGGCGTGCCCCAAGGTGGGGTCCTCTCGCCCGCCCTGTACACCATCTTCACGGACGACGTGCCTGCGGCGCCGGGCAGCATGGTGGCGCTGTACGCCGACGACACGGCGTACCTCGCGTCATCTATTAGAGCCGCCCACGCCGCCGCCAAATTGCAACGGTCGCTCGACCTCCTCCCCGCCTGGCTTGAGGAGAGGCGACTAGTTGCAAACGCCGCCAAATCACAAGCAATCCTGTTCGGGGCGGGCAGACTGCCCCCCGCACTCCACCTTCAAGACGCTGACATCCCATGGCGCCCGGAGGTAACATACCTGGGCGTCGTGCTCGACCGCCGGTTGAAGCTGCGACACCACGCTGTCCGCGCTGCGGGACGCGCCGCGGCCGCCGCCAGCAAGCTGCGGCCCCTTCTCTCGTCCCGACTGCCGACGCGTGCGAAGCTCGCGCTCTACCGGCAGTACATCCGGCCCCATCTCACGTACGCGGCGCCCGCTTGGTACGGCCTCACCGCCGAATATGTTCGGCAGCGACTGAGAGCCGTACAAAACAAGACCCTTCGACGCATCGTCGACGCGCCGCGCTTCGTGAGAAACGCGACCATCGCCCGGGACCTCCGTCAGGAGAGCCTCGACGACTTCATCAAAAGACTGGCGACGCAGATGTTCGCCCGTGCCGACGCCTCAAGCTTCGCGCACCTCCGGGACATCGCGCCGCACCACTCGAGGCCTCCCGACCACCGACGGGCGTTCCCACGCGAGCTCGTTCGCCAGGGGCCGCCACCGGACTGACTCCATACCGAAACAGACATCCTGGGGCGCGGCGCAATACGCACGCGTTTCAAACGGCGAACGTCCGCTGGCTATGTTTCGCTGGGCCTCCCTCGGGGTTACCGGGGGTCTCACCCGGCGGGACTGTGCCGCGCGCCTTGAAACGCGTTGCACCCCCGCGCCCCAACACCGAATTGACATTTAAAGTGATTTCGACACCAAATCTGCCCCGGCAGACCTGATGATCGGCCCGTATTAACGGGCCGCATACCCGCTACCTCCTGCAGGCGCAATTGCGCGAAAAGGAATACCTGCGCCCGCTGAAGCGGTCGCAGAAGAAAGTCATAGCCCGAGTCGTAAATTTTTCAACTTATAATCGATGTTTAATAATATTATCTAATCAAATCGAATCATTTAATCCACACACACACGAATAAAATAATACACAAAAATACGATGACATTAAATAATAATAATAGATGTATGTGGTCCCTACCACTCAGCTTTTGTTGTACCTGAAAATAGGCACAACGCCGATTTTCATTGATGCCCCACGCTTGACATTTGAAGTAGAATATTATTACTTTTATTACAATTAACAAAATAAAAAGAAGATAAGAAAAAAATACATTAAAAACGAAAACCACAAAAATGCTTTATATATATACCTATAGTTTTACGTATAATCTTTATTGAGTAATCATACATCTACTACTAATCTAAAACAAAATTAAAGTAATATAAATGAGGTTTGTAATTCGTTGTTGTCATCTGGTAATATACTAAAAGAGAGAGTAAATTTAGGTTTGAATTTGGAACCTAAATCTTTTAGTATTCATCTCTACAATTAAATTAAATAATTTAATCCAATTAAACAATTACCAAAATTAAACACGAAAAGTCTGATTAAGACACACAATGGCGGTGAAAATTACGCTAGTTAGCATCAGATTTTCAGGCAACGCTTGGGCGAACTTCTTGTTAATGTTCATAAATGACTTACGAAATTACGAATGTACAGAATACGGAATTATATTTTGCATGTGCGTCTAGTAGGTATTTATCTAATTGGAAAAGTTCCGTGAGTTATAACGTGAAAAGTTTTAAACGAGAAGGAAAATTCGAACTGCGAACTCTAAACTTTTTTATTTCATTAATACAGATATTATTTTTGAATTGGAAAGTTACCGAGTTGCCCATACGTTTCGTAAAATTGCTAAGTTGACCTCGGTTTTAAAACTCTTGCAAAGCCTTAACCGCAAGAGGTCTTAGGTTCGAATCAGATCTGACGGACTTAAATTCAATAGTAACAATGTGTAGTTAATAATCGATTCGATTTCCACCGGGTACAACATATTTCTAATGATTCAAGAACATGTTGGACTTCAATAAATTGTGTAAGGCTTTCACGGCTATCGTTTAGCATATCATTGTTTTTCGGGCTGTTCGGCCGACGTGAGCAAGAACAGGATAAATTTAATTCTTAGAGCAATTGAGGAGGTAACATCTCCTGATGATTTAAATAAAACACTTTAACGGTTTAAAACGCGATATATTAGTTAAACTTATTTGAAAATGATTTTTAACTTCGGCCCGACGTTTCGGATGCTTTGAAGCAGCCGTGGTCACGGGGAGACCTATAATCCTCTAATCTCCTGATGATGCCGTCCGCATGTGATGGCGAAACGTCGAGAACCTCCTTTTGCTCACGTCGGCCGAACAGCCCGAAAAACAACATATGATGTTTGACTTCGTCTAGAAATCTAGTCACGAACATGAGTCTAGATATTTATAAACATTCGCTGTAGTCACAATATATTGTATCTCACTTGTATCTCAGAGAAAAATGAATGCAACATTTTATTGCCATGTGAATATTCGCAAAGAATTCATATTAAACATTTTCGTATATGGCAACGCGTTTTCCTCACTAAATTATTTTGTTTCCAACCTAAGAATAACTTAGCCGATAAACCGAGGAACAAATAGGAAAATCCAATAAGGGAAATGGTATAAATAAGTAATATGTCTAGAGGCTTTTAACGCAAACGAGACGAATGTTGCATGTACTCTTAATGGAGGCAGTGTTGCCATACTCCAGTATGTGTTGTTTTTGCTAGACCACATATTGAGAGCATTTGCAGTATGATGCGGGGATATTTGATATACACATCATGAAATAGAGAGTTTAATTTTCCAATCTATACGAATGTTATAAAGCTGAAGAGTTTGTAAGAACGCACTAATCTCGGTAAATACTAATTTGAATTGAAAAAATAATTTTGAATCGTTTGGACTATTTAACGAGCTATGACCAATAGAAGCGAAGGAGCATTGGGAAATGAAAATTATTCATTTTAAGTCCCGTTGCGAGCACTGTAAAAACATTGTTTAAATTTTTCTTCTTCTTTAAATGTTCTAAAAATGTCCGTGACAGCAAAACCAAATTTTGCTGCCGAAAATAACTATTCTATGCGGATGAAGTCGCGGACACAGCTGGTTACTAATAAAAAGCCTTTCTTTTTGATTATTTTAATTGTAAATAATATATTTCACCTTTAAGAATAACATGTGATATATTTAACTGCCTAGTATTAGAAAAACAAAGGCACGTCAATACCAAGATCTATTTAAATTAAAAACAGATGACCTAATATGAAAACCACAATGAGAGGGTTTTAACTTCAGTGCTCTTTTAAATAAAACAGAGTCGTTTCAATGATCGCAGTTGTTTGTGACAGTATTTTTTCATGCATTCTCTTATTTAATGTGAATAGACTTTTCTCTCGGCGTATTTTTCTTTTAAGCCCGTTTATAACGAGTTGAGATTTGTGGTGCTGCTTGCAATTAAAATTGTAAACTGATATGTATTTTTACAAACATGGGTATGTTATACTTTATAGTTTACCAGTAGTACACATTTAAATAAAACACTTTAACGGTTTAAAACGCGATATATTAGTTAAACTTATTTGAAAATGATTTTTAACTTCGGCCCGACGTTTCGGATGCTTTGCAGCAGCCGTGGTCACGGGGAGACTAAAGATGGAGGATGTCTCTGACGTCAAAGTAAAGAATTGCTACGCTAGCGCCATCTCTTCCGTCGAAGTTGGTATTTGGCGAAACTGCCGGTCTTACAAATTGACTAACGGTGTCTTCGGTTTGCTGGTATGCTGTTTATTGGGATCCAGAGTTTTTAATATGGGATCCCAGGTGTTTGATAGTTTGAGGCCGTCCTCCCTATTGAAATTTCGGTGTTTTTTAATTTCAATTGCTTCGCGTACCAATCTTGGAAAAAATCTACTCTCCTTTCGAGGATTTTTGGTTGGTCAAAGCGAATGTAGTGATTGGGCCCTTCTGATGAGTGTTGGCATACCGCAGATTTGGAGAGACGTTTATGTTTTATATCCGCGACGTGTTCTTTAATTCTGTTTGAGATGCTACGCTTTGTTTGGCCGATGTAGGATAGGCCACAATCACAACTTGTGCTTTGGGTAAGTATCTGTATTTCTTACACACCTTAACTCAATTCACAATAACATTAAGTTTACAATGGAACAGGAGGACAATAACACACTACCTTTCTTAGACATTTTAGTAATTCGCATGAACACGGTAATATTGGGCATACCGTCTTTAGAAAAACAACCCATACAGATAGGTATTTGAACGGTGACTCACATCACCACCCCAGCCAACTTAGTTCTGTCGGAGTATCTTTGTTTCAGAGAGCCCGCCTCTCTTATGCTCCCACTTAAATGAGGAGTTACACATGTCAAGCAGGTCCTATGCAAGAACAAGCTGAGAGTCCCTCCCACATCCCAACGAACCCCCCCATCAAACTCACCCCCTACCTACCATATGTGAAGGGAGTTACAGATAGAATTAGCAGAGTCCTAAATCGAGCTTCTATTGACACAATTTTCAAGCCGCACAAGAAGATTCAGCAATTCCTAAACCAACAAGTGTACTATCCCTTTACAAATCAGCGTTTACAGACTGATTGTGATTGTGGCCTATCCTACATCGCCAAACAAAGCGTAGCATCTCAAACAGAATTAAAGAACACGTCGCGGATATAAAACATAAACGTCTCTCCAAATCTGCGGTATGCCAACACTCATCAAAAGGGCCCAATCACTACATTCGCTTTGACCAACCAAAAATCCTCGCAAAGGAGAGTCGATTTTTTCCAAGATTGGTACGCGAAGCAATTGAAATTAAAAAACACCGAAATTTCAATAGGGAGGACGGCCTCAAACTATCAAACACCTGGGATCCCATATTAAAAACTCTGGATCCCAATAAACAGCATACCAGCAAACGCGAAGACACCGTTAGTCAATTCTGTAAGGACCCGGCCAGTTTCGCCAAATACCAACTTCGACGGAACAGATGGCGCTAGCGTAGCAATTCTTTACTTTGACGTCAGAGACATCCTCCATCTTTAGTCTCCCCGTGACCACGGCTGCTGCAAAGCATCCGAAACGTCGGGCCGAAGTTAAAAATCATTTTCAAATAAGTTTAACTAATATATCGCGTTTTAAACCGTTAAAGTGTTTTATTTTAATTGGGTATGTTTTCTCACAGGAATTAAAATTATAACATTAAAGTGAATGAGAAAAATATTTGATGTCACACACTGCCTGAATGAGAGGCAATGCGTGTGCACACTTTTATCCACGCGTCGTGCTAGAAAAATTACTCTCCAAAGCTAGCTAGTTGGAGAAAAGAGTCCAAGGCAGTATTGACTGTCTACTCTGCAAAACTCCTTAATAGTCGTTAGGATCACATACGTATAGGACACCGACAGAATTTTAATAAATACGCATTATAGATATACAAATGGTGCATAAAAGATATAAAAACACACTCTGTGTTAAGTATTATCATTAATGTAAGAAAGCGTGGCATAATAAACACGTTAATAATTTCCTTTAATTTCGAAAAACACCTCAAACACATCCATTGTGATAATTGTTTGCTAACAACTAGAACAACATATTCATTTTCAACTTAAC